CCCTGGTCATGTACATACAATTATCCAGCAATTGTTGTTCAGCGACTGTCCGGTGCAGTACAACACCTGTCTGACTGGCTACGACAACGTGGCTTAATTCTGAATGAAACGAAAACACAAATCCTACCAATCCCTCCTCACAGAGCACCACCCTTTGCCCTACGTGTGACATGCAATAGTCAAGAACTGCCGGTGGTACCATCGGCCAAGTATCTAGGCTTACATTTTGACACGTCAATGTGCTGGCAGACAATGGTTCAACGTGTTGCTATCAGTATCAGGGTTTCTGCTAAAATAGCTGTCTTAGTCCGCCATGCTGCATCTTTGCCCCTCTCATGTCGTTTTTTTCACGGTTCGCGTGAGACTCGGCTGGAAACCGAGTTTTCCGCATCCGTAGGAACGCCACCACCCTTCAAGGATCAAGGCGCAAATGCAGCTCCTAAATCATGTCATGCAAATCATGTCGTATCTGCTACTTCAAATGCTTTGTGCTGCCTGAGTTTCTGTATGCAACCAATGCTTATGCCCCATATCTATCTGTTCACCAGGAGCTCCTTCTGGAAAGGCTCTTCAAGCGCGCACTGCGTGCTGTATGTAAAGTGCCCCCAGGGAACCCCACTGTTACGCTGCTTCAGCGTGTACATGTCTCTCCCTTGCGCGCTACCATTCAACGTAACTTGCCCTGCTTTGTATTTTTTGTATTTTATTATATTTTAGGATTTCCCAAAGGCTTTGGGCCTGTCGAGGGGATCTCCTGCAAGAAGAATGAAATGACAACTTTATGTAGAGGGAGCAGTTAATCGAGGATAATAATAATAATAATAATAATAGCACATTTCGCGTAGTAGAGCACTAAATAAAGAAATTCAGTGTTTTTTCCGCTTCTGTCTTGTGAGCATCATCAGCTAGGTGTAGTAGCTGCTGATACCGATTTCTCGCCGGGTGTCGAGCTGCACAGTTTCCTCCAGTCTGTCTTGTCTGCTGCTTGTTGTCGGCACCTGGAAAGGTCTTCCATGGTCTTCATTGGCACACCCAGCTTATTCAGCTGAGCAACCAGACTTGTGGCCAGTGTCAACCTTGGCCGTCCACGAGGTGCTTTGTTGCCCTTGTCAAAATAGCCGCTCATGGCTACTTGCGGTGGCGTGTCCGTGTCCATCCGTAGCACATGACCGGTCATTCGTAGTCGCCTACATGCAACTGTGTCTGATATAGGGTTGCTCTTGGTTCTGCGGTATAGGTCGTCGTTTGAAATTGTGTCTGGGTATCGTATTCCAAGGAAATAATCGAAGCATACAAAATCTGGTAATTAAGGAGTTGGGATACCGTCAGTGTAATGAAAATCGGCGAAAATTCTGAAAGAGAGAATGCTTGAATTCGGGGAGGCTGGTTATAGACGGAAGAGAAGGCGGTAGGCAATTCCATAGCATTGAAGCTTTGTTGGAAAAGAGGGAAGAAAAACGCACACCGTGATAATTGATGTTTTTTTTTTTTTTTTTTTACTATGTTCACACTCCCAGCTCGAAAATAATAAAGAAAGACAATGATACTGAGACTAGGACGAACGTGACAACTATTGAGCAGGGGCTGCACCGAGACGCAGCAGTGATGGTGGGGCATTGATGGCTCTGCCGACCTGAGGTCTCGGCATCACGGCCAAAAACACGCACCAAAAACAAAAGATAGAGCTGTACGAGTCAGCAAAACGAAAAGAAAGGAAGGGTTAACACCAGCGAGTGTGCGGGAGAAACTGTGAGACTATTATGTTAAGTTTGTTATGTGGCGTTGTCTAAATTCTTCAGGAAGTAGATTGTCGGAAACTCTTTTTCGACCTCTTCCGTCACGAAGAACTCGAGGAGGCAACAGTAGTCTGCTTATCGTCCCTGCCGCTGCTTCTGCAAATTCTACCAAATTGGTGACACATACTGGTGCAGTTCTCTGGAATTCCCTCCATGCGGATATCCGAGGCGTCACCAAACTGGCCGCCTTCAAGTCAAGCGCTTTGCACCACATTCTTGCCTGCTTTTAGCTTTACGCCCATGTTTCTGTAGCTGTGCTGCAACTGCTCCATTTCGCCGCCATTATTTACCATTAGCCATGTCTCCCCCCCCCCCCCCTGCTCCACCCTACACAGTGGGTCCATTGTTATTAGGCATCTGCCTGTTTTGGTTTCTCCACTATATTAAAATAAAAGAATACTACTATCCCTTCAGTGTGCATAGTTCGAAACTCCCCCCCCCCCCTCACACACACAATGGTTGCCTCTTTGCTTTTTCATACCACAACCATTCAATGCGGTGAACCCCTCGATAGGCGATTTGCCTTTGGGTCATCCTAATAAAGTTATTATTATATTATTCTCTTTCTGCCTTCTCCTCTTCAAAGTCGTCTCCTTGTGAGAAGGCACCATTGCCTGCTTCGTTGAACTGCTATAAAAAATCGTATGTACGCCCCACAAAAGAATATGCCACCCCAATCTGGAGCCTCACCCCCAACTACTGCACATCTAGCTATGTTTGATGTCCTGCAGGCTAAGGTGTGTAGACGGTTATTAAGATCAGCCAAGATAGAATTTGTCAGATATGAATCAAAAGATAGTTTAATTAAATAGTATGTGTAACTTAGAATCCCTCCATTTCAGACGTACCCTCATCGCTATTACAATTCTTTTCAAATACATCCACTTTCAACCTCTTATCTTATCCCTTTTTTATATCAATATTTCTCGTAGTGAACGCAGACCGAACAATCTTCTTTTCAACTCTCATGGGAAATTTTCATCTTCCTTTTCTTACGTAAAATCGGCAAATTATGGATTTGCCTTCCACCCAAGATTACCGCTATAGATTCTGTTTCAGAATTTCGGACACAATTTCGCGCTCATTATAAACAGAATATATTTGCCTGCACAAGTCGCTTCACTAGTATATAAATCAATGATCATTTTCACTGTTAGGAGATCCCGATAGGCTATGCCTTCGGGAAATCCTTTAAATAATAAATATAAAATATATTATTTCCATTGCTATCAGGTTCGGCCTCATTTCCTCTGTGCTGCGCTGACGAGTCCACAAAGGACGAAACAGTTCTGTCCGCAGATTGAGTAAATATAAAATATATAAATAAAAGCACAACAACAATAATAACAACTTGTAAGTGCAAGTTTTGAAGTCAATGAACACGTACTCACTTTATCTGCAACACCTGCCCACTCTATATAATAAATAAACTGAATACATCGTACGAACATGTTTTTTTGGTTTTTTTGTTCTACAAAGTCCACATATCTCCAGACACTGGGGTGAATAATGGAGTGTGGTAGTGAGGCCCATTTAGCCGACCAGAGGTCTCGGCTTCATAGCTCCATGGACGCACCAAAGGGAGATTGGGTAGGGACGATTAAGTTGAAAAAGAAAACAGAAGAAAGAAAATGGAAAGATTGCATTGCACGCTGCTGTCTTGAACTTTTGGATGTGTATGGTATGATATGGTATTTTTATTTGAATTCACCAATCGAACACGCGAATTCACCAATCGAACACGCATATCTGCCTTCTTGCCGGGATGGCCAGAGCCAACCACGGCTCCTACTAATTGATGAATATGATAATGTGAAGCAAAAGAAAAGAAAAAAATGGTACTTTGTCAGCTATATATTCGGTACTAAAAATATGGAGAGGGCAGTATGTGGATTCTATACTGAAGGACTGTGGATGGTGAAGATGCTACTTGTGTTTTATGATAAAGGTATAGGGAGGGAAAGAGAGAGAGACAGAGAAAGGGGGAGAAAGAGAGAGATAGAGAGAGAGGGAGAGAGTGTGTGTGTGTGTGTGTGTGTGTGTGTGTGTGTGTGTGTGTGTGTGTGTGTGTGTGTGAGAGAGAGAGAGAGAGAGAGAGAGAGAGAGAGAGAGAGAGAGAGAGAGAGAGAGAGAGAGACAGACAGACAGAGAGAGAGAGAGAGAGAGAGAGAGAGAGAGAGAGAGAGAGAGAGAAGAGAGAAGAGAGAGAGAGAGAGAGAGAGAGAGAGAGAGAGAGAGAGAGAGAGAGAGAGAGAGAGAGAGAGAGAGAGAGAGAGAGAGAGAGAGAGAGAGAGAGAGGAGAGAGAGAGAGAGAGAGAGAGAGAGAGAGAGATAGATAGATAGATAGATAGATAGATAGAGAGAGAGAGAGAGAGAGAGAGAGAAATAGATAGATAGATAGATAGATAGATAGATAGATAGATAGATAGATAGATAGATAGATAGATAGATAGATAGATAGATAGATAGATAGATAGATAGATAGATAGATAGATAGATAGATAGATAGATAGATAGATAGATAGATAGATAGATAGATAGATAGATAGATAGATAGATAGATAGATAGATAGATAGATAGATAGATAGATAGATAGATAGATAGATAGATAGATAGATAGATAGAGATGAACGAGGGAGAGAAGGAAGAAGAGGAAGACTTGCCGAATGATCAAGTCTTGCATTGCCGAATGGAGTAAATCATGCATGAAGAGATGGCAGGTCAAGATCAGAGATAGAGGATTTGAATAACGGAAGATTGGCCGGGGAGAATCCTGATGTGGTCAGATAGGGCATTCCAGAGGGAGCTACCAAGGAAATGCATAGTGTGCCGTCCAGATTGTCCAGGGAGAAAAGGGATACGGAGAAGCTGAGTGGCTTGACCCCTTGTGAAGGGACGATTCCCGTGCACGACGGGGTCGGCAGAGATCAAATTGAAGTAAGGCAGAAACAATGTGCTGGCTGATGAGGACAGACAACGAAAGACAAACTGCAAGACTTTGTAGATGAAAAGGTGCTCAACACAATAAAGTGAGAGGCGTGTGCGCAGTGGCCCAGTGGGCACGGCGCCATGCAATTGGAATATGGCGCGAACGCCAGACTTCCTGACTTTCAGTAGGCGGGTGACTAACTGCTTTGTGAGGCACGGAAAAAAGGAATTAGATGCATAAGTGATCCTAGACTGAATTATTGCTACTCATGTACCAAGTATGTACCATAGGCGGCGTGCAGTGATTGACAGTGCTCGTCCATGACGCCAGAGCTGTCCCACAGCAACAGACACTTTGCGTACAGCTTGTTCAACATGCGGTTGCCAAGAGAGTTGGTCGTCCACAAGGACTCCAAGATACTTAGCTGTTGTGGTGACTGACAGACGAATATCGTTGCAATAAATACCAGGCATGGCACTGGGACGGCCACGGGGCTGGATGAACAACACTTGCGTTTTAGCGAGTTCAGAACAAGTCCAATACTGCACAGCCAATCAGCAAGTTTCGAGACAGCACTTGAGAGAACATTGCACACAAGGTGTTTATCCGAGTCAGAGAAGTCCAGGACAATGTCATCAGCAAACTCCTGGTGACTTATTTGCATTGGCAGTATGGCAGACGGATGTTCTTTGGGTGAAATGGGTGGGGAATGATAGAGAAAGGCAGCTGGTTCCAAATTGAGATGACGGAGTGGGGAAAGGCTCGGCTCACATTGCCGGGAATTGGCAGGAAGAACATTCTGTAACTGATGGGGGTGCGCGGTGCATAGTCGTACAGCCTGGCGGGTGAGACGTGTGGTCCTGGGCTGGTGTGTCGGGGGTGGAACCATTCTCGAGAGAAGAGAGGGAGAATTATCGCAAAGGGCTTTATACAGGAGGCAGAGGGCAGCGATGGTGCGGCGAATTGTGAGGCTAAGAAACCAGCATAGCCGATGTGTTTCCTTGATGGCTTGCTCCTGCACCCAGTCCAGCCGATTCAAGTGGGAAGGAGCTGCCCCATCCAGACGATCGGGAAGTACTCCATAACCGGCCGGACAAAGGCTTTGTAGGCTCGAAGTCGGGCAGGAATGGCCAGCAAGTGAAATTCCTTGCGCAAGGCTCCAAGTCTCTGCGTTTCTCGGACTACAACAGTTCGAGATATGCTGGCTGAGTTTTAGCTGATGTTCAAACGTGACGCCGAGTACTTTGATGGCGGGTCTGCCTCGACAGGAGTTCCATTGAAGACAATGGGGGGTATTGGCCAGTCCCGACGATGGTGGGAAATTGTAAGGGCCTGAGATTTGGCTGGCTCGAACGGCACTTTCCAATCCGAGCCCCAACTGGCTACTAGGTCAACAGCAGCCTGGAGTACTCTAGCGCTGTCAGGAACAGCAGCGAGAGTTGCAATTTCGGCGTATAGGGTTATGTCGTCGGCGAATGAGGCAAGGTTGGAGCCGATTGGGAGGTGGTCTTCAAGGTCGTTGACGTAGACCAAGAGTAAGGTGGAGCCCAGGATACTGCCCTGTGGCACTCCAGCCTTAACTGGGCGTCTGGCGGATGTGAGAGATGAGGACTTGAAGTGTGCGGTTGCAGAGGCAGTCTTGGAGCCACCGATGCAGGTCTCCCGAGATGCCATACACTCTAGCGTTGTGCAATACCAGTGTGAGACACCCGGTCAAATGCTCCAGCAATGTCGATGGCCAGCACTCGAGAAGCTCCTTTATCTCCTGCGGTGTGCACCCACTGGTGGTGGAGAGCAGTCAGCAGGTCTGCTGCACTGTGGAAGTTGCTGATTGCCCTGTTGTCTATGGTCTCCATGACCTTGAAGAGGATGCTCAGTAACGACACTGGTCGATAGTTTGATGGCGACGATTTAGACTTGCGCTTGTGGACTGGGAACTACGTGTGCAACCTTCCACTGTTGTGGCTGGATGCCGGAGCGAAGACAGCATGTAAATAGCTTTGAAAGCGGCCGTGCCAATTCTGCAGAGCAAGCTTTCAAGACGCGGGCAGGTATCCCATCTGACCTTGGTGGGGTAGAGCTGGCGGAGAGTTCGCTCGACTGTGGTCTCGCGAAACCGGTCGGTGCCGAGGTTGTGGTCAGTACGTGGTCGGACATGAGGAAATGGAGCGGATAGGTCGTCTGCCCCTAGACTGCATTTGTTGACGAAGTGTTCGGCCATGCACTCTGCTTTGCTGCGGTTGGTGTCGTGCTCCGTACCATCGGTGCTCGGGAGTAGGTATGGATGGGCTGTTTCCGTGGCCAGAGGCCTTCTTGATGGTTCGCCACCATTCACCAGACGCCATACACCCAGATGC